GACCTGTAATTCAACATAAAGAGAAAAGGTCACCTTAGGGAGCAAATGAGGGAGAATGTTGGATGTCTGACTAAAAACAACAGGAAGTACTTTTTCTTTGATAAGCAAGACATGTCCAGGAAATGACACTTCTAACTTACCTATGAGGGAAAAAGAAGTCAGAAGAATTGCTAAATGTATAGAGTTGTTGTCATATGATTGGTTGAGTTGACTTTTGCAAATTCAACAGGTGTTCTTCATAAAATGCCTGTTAGAAATGGGTTTTCCAGTTTAGCTGCATTTTCATTGTCAATGTGCGCAAATATTTGAAAAATATGCTTTACTGTTTAAAAAATAAAAATAAAAAAATACAATACTACGATTGTTGTTGTTGGTTGCAGCATTTCCTTTAAATAAGAAACAGTTGAAAGGAATAAGTTTTGTTTATGCAATAAATTATTAAAATTCATGCCACACCATTATCCTTCCACCACTGCCTGTTGTCTTCTCCATATTTCCGGCAGTAGTAAGTACCAGTTGTTGATCACAATTCGCAAGATGCAAAAAAATGTCTTTCTATTGCTGTTTTGCAAAATACTGTAACTTTGATTCAGCCTAAACCCCCCTCATCCTAGCACAAAAACTTTTTATTAAAAAAAGGTGAGCTTTGTAGAAATTGGTGTGTTTCCATTAAGTAAATGTATTTTTGTAATTTCATTTCGTGCAATTACATGGTCAATGGAAACGCAGCTACTGAAAATGACAGTTTGACATCCTGGATCACAAAGTTAAATCCTGGTTAGTTAGAAAGTAGCTACTTTCTATCTAACCAGGATTAGTTAGTTTGATATTTTCCTCAAGCCAATAGTCTGAGCCTGAAGTTGGTTGGGAGTTGGAGTTGTTGAAGTTGCTCAACTGTCATCATTAAATGTCAAATCAGCACATGTTCTGTCATGGTTTACTTGCTTCTGACCTTCAGATTTGTGTACAGCGTCCTCCACAACTCCCACCACCCCAACCCCAATTCCCTCAGGATATTCATCATGTGATGAATACACAGCTGTTGGCAACCATTTAAGAATCAGAAACGTAATTAACATATCCTAAAAGTGGAAGCACGAAGATCATCCAAATCTTTCAGCAAACATTTGGTTTAGTTGTTACCCAGTATAAGAGATTATACTAGCAACACAGAAGAGTCATAAGAATGACTGACCCCTTTCCAGCAGAGGAGACAAAGCTTGTTTTTGAGTCTTAATGTTTCTATTTTAGTGTCTTGCTCAAAGACACTAAAGTGCAGGCACTGTTATTTCATGGGGGAACAAACTGCTGAACCTTTTAAAAATCTTCTTACTGCTCGAATATCACTTAGAAATGGAACTGTCCCCATATAGACAAAGCTTGGAAGAGCAGCCAACCTAGGACTGGATATTCTGTGGCAACTCTGGAAGTCCAAACCCTGAACAGGAGCTGCTGGTTGTCCATTATTCAGTCTGTCTTGTGTTTGTCCATCGCTGTGTGATTTGATTCATCCACAAAAGAGGACAAGACCAGCCAGTCACGAGCAATTAGGTCTACAAAGAAGATTATTGGCGTTGACCTTCTCACCATTCAAGACTTTTTCAGGTCTAGGCTCAGGAAAAGACCCCTGCAAATCCCACAGTTTTTTTTTTTTTTTTTTTTTTTTCCCAGGCTGACTGTCTGATGAACACAACCCTTCATACCAAGTTCAAATGACAAGGTTTATATCCCACTTTTGGTTCTGAATTCCCTTTTCTGACATTCTTAAATATGCCTTGATTATCAGCAGAACTCTTACAATAATCCTAAGATATTCTATAGAGAGTGATCTGGTCTGCTTGGGAAAACAACAGGACCAAGCCAATCTAGAATCCAGGATATTCAACATGTTGGATTGTCTTGGCCCAGCATCAATGTGCGCTGTTCTCCAAGAACAAACAAGAACGCAGTCTGCTGAATATGACGTGCAGCCAATCAGACGTGCGCTTTGACGAGGTGATTTCTGGATGATGATTTGATGTTTAGGCCTCTTTGAATTCCAAAGAGCAGCAGCTGCATCTTCAGCTCCTGTGGGCACCATGTTCATCATAGCACCCTGTCAACAAAATTTGCGATGCCACGCTGAACAGCCACGCAGCGGCAGAATCACAGTATTTCTGTGGTTCATAAATTTAAATGCTTTGATTGGCCACACCTGAAACAAAGTGCATCTGGAATGGATTCCTGATGAAATGTGGGGCATTTAGGGCCTTACTACTGGAAATCAAAATGTTTGTTTATGTTTTTGTACTTCGTAACAGGCAGAGGTGTTAAACTTTAATTGCAAAAGGTTCATCAGAGCTGGCATTTGTAAAACACACATTAGTTTTAGAGATTCTGAAAAAAAAAAAAAAATGTTTTATTGAGATCATGCATTGGTACTTCTAAGGAAATTCTCTCAGTGTTGGTATGTGTGTGTGTGTGAGTGCTTATGCTTGAGTGTGTGTGTGGGTGTGTGTGTGGGTGTGTGTATGTATGACATCTACAAGCCTGAAACTGCAAAACTCCCAAGGGCTCACTGAGTTAATTAGAGCCAAATGACATTCTGAGACATTAAAGTTAGTAGGAAATTCACTTCTATAAACACCAAGAGGAACTAGAGATCTTTTTGATTTAAGTACAGAACTTCTCTCCATTTTAGTTTAGTGGATGTTCTGCAAAAGACTCCAGTTTTTTTTCCTTCTCATTCAGACATTCTCAAGAGTTTTGTTAATGACTGCCCTGCAGCTTCTTCCTGCCTGAATGCCCAACTCTATATGAAGCGGGTGTTTGAACACGCTTTGTGATGCTCTTAAAGACATAACAATCTTACGTATTTTTATGTGTTTTGTTGTGTGGTAATTTTTTTCCCCCCTCCCTCCACAATAAAAGTTAGACCCTTGGACACAAACATCAACAAAAAAAAAAAAAAAGAGCCCCGTTTTTGAGTGTGGAGGGTAGTTTAGGGCCAGATGTGTTGAATTAACTCCTCCTGCTGCATCCCAGAGTGCCTCTAAGGCAGCTCTGGCTCATAAATCAACATGATCTACGTCTACAGACAACAACGGCGCAGTCAGGGACACCCGGGTTTTTTTGTTTTGGTGTTAGTTGCTACCTCTTTTGTAAAGGCCACCTTTATGCTTTTCCGCAATGACTCAGCAAATGTCTGCCAAGAAACATCCACTCTTCAAAGTGTTGTTAAAGAGGCTCAGGGTGGAGGGCTGTCAAGGGAAGAGGGGGTAGTGGTTTGAGGAAAAAAGATCTGCAAATAGGAAGACCAGAGAATGGGGTATAATTTCCATGCAAATTTACCATGTGGTCCAAATTTTATACTGACATAAGCTCACGTGTTCCAGATTTCTTTCTTATGCAACTTTCCGGGAAACCGTCTGTTTGGGTCTACTTCTGAGACACACACATATCTAAGCATTTTATTGGACTGTGTTACTATTAAAATATTTCTTGAAACTAGCAGCAGTTACCTATTTACCTTTTATTAAATCTTTTAAAGATGTTGAAAACAGAATTATTCCCCTTCAAATTCTGTTGAAAGTTTATGAGCTACTAATATTTAACCTATAGCAAAAACATAAATAACTAGCTAAGTATTTTTAAAAATAATTTTATGTTTAACTAGCTTAAAAATGGCTAAATTTATCCCTGTTTAATTGTAATTCAGTCCCAATGTCAAAATAAACCTGACAATGCACGCTTTGGGGTTTCCACAGGCAGAATAAAGAATCCGAAAATCTCAAATTGTGTTTGAACTGAATTTTAAATTAACATTCATTCATTAATAATTGTAAGAAGGTGTGGTTTCTCATATGGGCAGAGGATCAGAAAGATAATTGCGGTGGTTGTGGTCCCGTATAATGATGCTAGAAACTTACAACGCTCTCTTTCATCTCTGAGTTTTGACGTATCAGGCTATGATGAATAATTCAGGTATTTCTATCACCTCATCATAAAACAGCATACATGCATGTCCAGGTATAGCTAAAACTTGTATTTATTTATTTTTCAAACAAACAAATGGGGAAAAACAAATACCATCATAAACTTTATGGAAATTTTTATTTATATCACTCCATATTTTGCAATTTATTTGTGTCCTAGTTTTACTGTTTATCGCTGGTAAATATACAAATATTTTTACAGTGTATACAGACCTGGGTCCTGGTTTGGTTGAAGTGAACTCTGGTGGGGTTTAAATGCAGATGTAGACCAGAGACTGCTCCAATCTTAGAAAGTGGGCTATAGCGCAAAGCATTCTGGGTAAATACAGCCAGAACAAACAGACAATAAAAAAGACAAATTGTACATCTGCTAAAGTCCTGAGACCACAACATTTTTGTTTACAACTTATGAAGAAGGAAGTTGCGTTATGTGTCTTCTTCTGAGGTTTTGGGTTTGATTTGGTTCATTTGCCACGGTTCTGTGTGAAAGCAAAGCACAATTAGACTGTTTTGAAGACTGTCATGTTTGTAAAGGACCATTGCTGATATAAATCAGCTGTTTAATTAAATCAAGTTCTGCCTTCAAAAGGCAGGGTCCAGGATTCCTGCACATTCTTATTTAGCCAAGAAAAATTCCACTGTTGTGCCAAGATTTAAACATTTGAACTGATGAAAGTTTTATATATAAATATATATACCAATCAAAATTTGGAACTTCATTAGAGCTTTTTAGTCACTTTGGTTAGATCATAAACTCACAGATTAAGTAGTAAATTCTGCAAACTCAAATATATTTTTATATTCTGTTTTCCATTTAATAACTTTTTTATACCTAGAAACCCTGGAACTCTACTTTGAATTACAATACCAGAGACAAAAAAAGATATCCAAACCAAACTTTTGAACTCTAGGAATATTGGAAATATATTGCAAAAATGGGAACTGAATCTAACTGGGGTTATTAAAGTTAAAGCACATACAAGACATGAGATGCTATAAATTAGTTAGAGATGAACAACAATAGCATTTAAGCTTTATAATTTTATTGTAAATGTGTTTTACATAGTAGAACAAAGCAAAAAATATATAAGAATTTGAGTAAATTCTTATTTTTAGTGTGTACAAACCACATTTTGTAAACAACTCAGGAGATATTTTATGATGCATCATGTAGAAGCTGCTATTTCACCAGCTGATATGACTTTGGTAAAAATATGTTTTTGGAAAAATAGATGTCCAGGTAAATCTGAAACTGTATCCTGACATATTCACTGAGCTACTTTAACATATGTGGTCTGGGAACACCAGAAAAAAAAATATTCTCCTTATTTTACAATATACATATATATTTTTATATTCGAAATATTTTGTTATGTACAGTTTCTCTACATTTTCACAAAAAAAAAATCTTTCACAATCACAGATATCATTACAAGCAGTTGTCCTTTCTGATGCATGTACATTATTTACATACATTCATGGATCACATCTATAATACACATTCAGAAAAGTGTGTCTTCTGTGTGCATGGAAGGAATGCCTGACAGAGCAAATACACTTTCTACATACAGCATCCAGGGCTACATGCTGAACATTCAATTAGATCCGTCAATCACTGAGAAAATGAACACAAAAAAAACACATCATTTTACTTTTCAACAATCATTGTTTTAAATGTGATTAAAAAACGCTGACACCTGTCACATTCATGTCAGAGAAACCGACTCCTGCCTTGCTGTGGCACATTTGGCTTAAGTTCAGCTGAGATGAAGAGATACTTTGCATCGTACAGAGGCGAAGGAAAGAAAGAGGAAAACTTAATTTTTAGGAAGATGTGACGTGGCAAAAAGCCCAACACTGTTCCCCTAAAGAAAAGGACAAAGGCAGATAGATATGTGACATGTTCAACACTGAGGATAGTGTTTCAGTGATGCTTTTTATTTTCTGTTTACCCAACTCTGCTTTGATGAAAACAATGGGTGAGTTACATGATGCAATAACTTCCAGTCTCAACAAATCCAATTAGAAAAAAAACAATCCAGTTGAATTTGTTCATTTCAAGTTTCTTTGAATTTTTTTCAAGATGAGCCCAAACACTCCACAAATTAAAGTGACTCTACTAATGGTTTATGAACAAGACATTGGACTTTTATTATTAACTGTCTGCCAGTCCAAGTTTCAGTAGTTGACATCAGGCATTTTTCCATGATTATTACTAAGATTCAGTACCAAAGGTTCTAAATTTTCATGTCGTGCCCATAAAATACACCAAAAGTAAAATTTCCCACTATGTTCAATCAGTAAATGCATCAAAACACAGCATGTACTTTACTAAGAATCAGCTGAATGTTATTCAAATGTGGTTTGATAAATAAATGAGAATACTCCTCTAATGTCTTCATTTTCTGTGTTTTAAAATTACTCTCTTTGCAGCGTTTCTGTTTTTTTTTTATGTTTAAGACCTACTAATAATAGAAAATTGCAATTAGTAAATATTGGAATCTGCAGGTCAGATCTCAGATTAATTGATATGAACCAAATTACCAAAATGATTGGTGCATCATTACAAATTTTCCCAAAAAATGATCCTGGTTTAAACCAGACAGTTGCCTTGTTTCTCTAGGATTCTTCAGCTATTAACAACAATAGATTCAACAGAAAGTTCCTGAATTGCAACAACGGTGTAAAAACTGAAAAGATCCTGATAATCATAAAGATAATGAAAGCTGCTAATTATCTCATTTTATTCAAATAACTGAACCTGAAAATATACAAGATGTGATTTTCTATAGATCTTAAAAATCAACTATTTCACAAGAGAGTGTTGTAAAGTTTGTTGCTGAGTCTCAGTTGAATGTCTCTTTGAAGGTGTTGAAGGTTATTTTCTGCTGACAGCCTGGCAACCAAGTCACTCTGGACATTTCCTGTTTGGGTTTTTAAAATACCGAGCTCGCTAAAAGGTCCGTTTGACTCTTAGTCTTCCTCCAGTCTGAGTCTCTGTTCATTTCAGTTTGTAGAAACATTTTACAAGTTTCTTGTAGAGTTTCTACTGAGGGAAAGGAAACTAACACTGAATAGAAACTCACTTTAGAAAATATGAACTTTACATCTTTTGAACTTTCCAGTATTTTTTTTAATGGCCCAGTATCTTGCCCAGCTTTTTTCTTAAAGTCTTCCTTAGACAGTTACGCCACAGATCACCTTTCCTCTGACAACCTGGGGTGATTTCTAAGTCAGACAACATAAATAATACTGGTGTTCACATTCAAAATCTTATTTTTTTTTGGCAGTGGAAGAGAAAAAAAACAAACAAACTTTGTTTCAGCTTATTCAGATTAGGTCTACTGCTATTTCACCAAATGAAATTACATAAAGATATGAATGATATGGCAAAATATCAAGTTGTAAAACAGAAGTTGTGCTGCAGACACACAGGACCATTAGAATCCACTGTTAGCTTTAGCTTCCAGTCACAGTCGTCCATCAAAATAGGTTTCAATCTGATACAAGGGTTTTGAGGAGAATCAACATCAGAACTGACTCAGTAAAACAAGACAATTTACTCAGAGATTCTCCCATGGTACAGACCACTGAAGATTTCCTGTGTGCCAGTGCTAATTACACAGTGTGATTATTTACGATGGAGAGCAGTAAATCAACATGTAACCGAGATTTATTATGTTTTGGAGCTTTGTCAACATTTTTTATTCCAATTTTGAGACTCTGGGGCGTCAAAGAAACCTTTTTAAAGCTTGAGGAATGTTGATGCATCTGCTACTTTGACATTCTTGAGAAAGAATTCATCCAAGCCTGCTGTATCATCCTGTTATATTTAGGCTCCATTTTCACGTTGTTGGACAATAATTTGTTTTCCTTTTCAAAAAAAAAAAAAAAAAAAAAAAAAACAATTACCAGAAAGGTAAAAAAGGGAGGAACTTAAAAAAGTAGAACATTCTTCAGAGACTGAAGAAAAAAAGATTGATATGGATGATTTGTTCATAAAATGCTCTTAAAAGTGTAAAAATAGCAAATTTGTCTTCTAAACAGATAAGCTAAAAGATTTGAGGATAAAATTTCTATATGATAAAAGCTTATTCCACCTGTGACATTGGTGCGTCAAGTAACAATTTCCTGTTTAGTTTTTTACAGTCTTCTCCTCGTTACCAATAAATTATCACAGTACCATGAAAGCGCGTCACACGCGCATGCAGCTCTTTAGTGAGGCCTTTTAAGGGTGTTTGGACTGTCCTCCTCAGTCTTTCGTCACAGACATCCAGCCCTCCTGCCGTCTCCTCCGCTGAGCGTCACTCCGTCACGTCAGGGGTCAGAGGGGTCCATTTACAGACCGTCCTGTCCTGTTGCTTCGGGGAAAGCGGTGGACTTTGAGGTGTTTTGACAGGTGATCACTGCGAGCAAACTTCTTCTCGCAAACGATGCATTGGTACGGCTTCACACCGGAGTGGGAGCGGCGGTGCCTTGACAGCTCATCGGACCGGGAGAACCTGCGGCGAAGAAACCAACGAATGAGATCCATCACATTTTATCAAGCGAAAAATAATATATTTGTAAATTTTTTTCAACTTAAACCTGACCAAAAGTGTTTTAAAACATTGAAACTACTTCAAAGTGGACAAAGACAAACCTAATCTTCGGTATAAAGTATTTTCTGAAAAGATTAAATTAAGTCTTGTTTTATGTGTCCCAATAAGATAAAAAAGTTGTCAGTCTGTTTAGATGAGGGAAATCTGAGAGGTGTAATACTTTGCATGCAACTTCTCTGTGAAGTCAAAGAGCCATCCCATATTTAGCTCAACACATGAGCACGGTTAACCTAGTCCAGGTCTATTCCTGTTCTGATCTGCCGTGGTCGCTACGGGCTCCAGCCAGCTCAGCTGCCGTGACAGCAAAGGGTTAAGTGGATGACAGAGTCGTGCCTCGATGGACTACATGTGCATCTGTATACGTTAGTGAAGCTGTTAAGATCAAATTAATCTGTAACAAAGATCAGTTTCACAGTGGCTGCAACCTGCTGTAGACATGAAGGTGATAATTCACAGAGATGTAAAAACATCATTCGCGGTTATGTTTGCCTATTTGCACTCCAGACACGCATACCACAAATGGCATACCTGTTACTCAAAAGACCCATGTCTAAAAGAAGAGAAAATACTGAAAAAACACATCAAATACCTATGAAGGTTACATTATTATTTATTGTCTTTCTCATCTGATCTGACATACAGTCAACATACAAATAATCAGGTCAGTGTTGTACTCAAGGTCAGTCTGTAGCAACATGTTTTGAGGCTGCAGCTATGCCTTGGGTGTCACGACATTGGAACATATGTCACCCTTTGTAAATAACAGACCAGTATCACCTTTCCATGCATCTGGTGCTGCAATTGGATCGTCAGCGCAACCATCTAACGCAAATACTTAGTCATTTCACTCTCCTTTTACTCTCTTCAACCAAATTAGTTAACATTACTAGAAAATTGAATAGAGACCAATTGCCTTAAAATGATGATTTAAGGCAATTAGATTGCCTTAAATTCATTTGATTTAAGGCAATCTAATTGCTTTAAAGTTAAATGTGTTTAATGTTAACGTAGAACCGCAGAGCAGAGTTAACACAGCAGGAGCCCCAGTGAGCTTCATGCTTCTGTCTTTAACTTCCATGACAGGCTTCATATTCAACTGGACAGAGATTCTCTGAGAACTAAACAGGCTGGGTTTAAATGAAAAGCAGGTTAAAGTTTGGTCAATAATAGCTCATCAATACAGTCATGTCTAATTTAAAATGACTTGCTAAAACCTGATTGAAGAATTTATGAATTTGTCAGCAATCTTCTGAATTGGAGTAAATTTCTGTGAGTGTTTTACTTTCTTAATATAACAGACAGCTAGCAGCATTAAAAATGTTGAAGATGCAAAGCAACTTGTTCAACAAAAAGCAACGGTAACGCGCCCACACACTGCATAAAACTCACAACTTAGGCCATTTATAGCTGTTTCAAACTCAACATGCCATCAAATACAATCCAGCCTGGAAGTCTTTGTTAACATAAAACATTATTGTTTTGACAGACTTGTAATAACTTGAACGGTTGCTGGCATTCATAATACAATCTTTGTTCAAATGTTTTTGTTTTTTTTATGAGTAAATTATTGGTCCAAAGTTTTTTCATACTCTATCAGAACCCATTATACACACACCAAATGTCCAATAAGTAGTACAGTTAACTACTTTGCTAATGCCTTTCTAATTTAACCCAATTTGCAGTGTAGGACAGATAAATACAGCACTGCCTTATGGCCATAAGTCAACAAAGTAAATGTTGTGCTCCACTAATGAACTTAAGTGATCCTGGTTGTGGGAGCACAGCTAGTCGCTCTTGGTTTGCCTTATGTTGGTTCCCACAACCTCCAAAAACAAACATTCAGGGCATCACAAGATATTCTTTATGTCCAAAGGCAAGAAAAGTGTGTTGATAACATGATTTTGTTTTAAAATCCATAAAGTCATGGAACTGACTGTTGATAGAGAAATAACACTTGGAGATTTCTATTCAAGCCTTTGACTCCCAACATATATATTGTGACTTTCTTCTAAATCCTGCTGCATCCAATCCTATCCAGGTGTTTTACCCTCTGGTGGAAGATATTGCCAAATATATTTATGGAGCATTAATACCTGACCAACCATAACGTGATTGGTTGTACAAACAACCGAGTTTTTCATTTTCCTGAAAGAATCAATGACATGACGCTTGATTTGCATGTCAACAGAAAGCAGCACACCTTATGTCTGAGTAATCCTGATCAGACAATGACATTTCCTCTGTACCCAGAATGCATCACTGTAGAAGAAGATCTTGTATCTCAATAGTAAGCAATTTAAAACCTACTGATGTCCTCAGTGCTTTCCAACAAAAGCCTTATCACAGTCAATTAGGCATCAGAGTTAGTAATACTCAACAATTCTAAAACTGAGACCATGAGTTAAAGGTCTATTCCAATTCCAAAGAAGCTCAACCATTCAGGAAGATTTACTATAACAAATTAGACCTTGTTGAGTGATGTTCTATGTTGTAATGTCCCACTGGCACATAATGAGTAAAAACATAGTTTAATTTAGTGCTCTAGAATGAGCTCCAACTAAATACTGTGTTGACTTAGCACTTTAGCGTTGAAGTAATGTTTACTTTTTTTACACTAGCAATTAAATTTTTGGTTAGAGGTGCTTACCACTGTAAATAATATAAGCAGAATATGTTTGGTTTAACAAAGTCTTAATAATATAATATTTTACATCAAGCATCCTGAAAAGGAAGGTCAGGTATTATAGCTCATTTATTGAGAATTTATGGCAACATCTAAAATGTTGTGTTTATTTTACGTTAGGCAACTTTCTGGGATTTGCCATCCCAATGACAATATTATGATTTAATACCTAATCAATATCCCACATCCTTATTTAAATCAGACCCAAAGTTTCTGAAGTAGGTGTTTTCTACCACAGGCAACAAATCTGGAACAAAGCAACCAGTTCAGGTCTTTACAGGAAAACCTTTTCATCAAAGTAAACTCTATACTCTAAGTAGCTCTACATTTGCTGTTGGTAAGCTTTGGCTGATGCATATACACACATTAAACCCTGGAGCGGTGCACAACCAACTTCAAGCAGGGGCAAGAGAGAAACCATGTGCAGCTCCTTGACATACTGGCACGAGGCCAGAGTCCAAGTATAACCAGCTACATCCGGAGAGAGAGGGTGGCACATTTCAGCGAACATGAAAAACTCATATGTTTCTCATTTTTAATTTGACTCACCAACGGTTTCCTTTGAAATAATTCATTATCCCATATTTATGGTGGAGGTTTCTGAGCTCTGTAATCTCTACATTTCAGGGATTGTAACCGATGTCAGGGAGTTTATGGCTGCATGGATGGAGGGCACTTCTGTTGATTGTCTAAAAGTGTTTTTCACTTTTGATTGTGGGTTGGAGTCCTGGAGGCAGCTTGGTGTGGCTGCTGTGCGACACATAGCACACATATCAGTGTTGGTGCTGTGGGAAACATGTGCAGGCTTTGCCCCAGCTTGTTCTTAAAGCTAACACTGCAGCTACGAGAAAATAAAAGCAGCGCCGAAGGTGGGGCAGTCAGGTTGGTTACAGTTGCACTGCAGCCAGTATTCGTACAGTACACAATTGGCTGCGTCATCTTCACTTTTTGATACAGAACGGGATCTCTCCTCTCGTTTTGCCTCTTGCTTTCACTCCAAGAGTCCAAATGCTAAATCAAACTGCAATACGTCTGTCATCACCTCCGATTGTGGTGTTGTGATCGCAGATGAATCAGTTGTCAAAGACAACAAACCACAAACCTGATGATAGATGACAAGTACACACACGCCGCAGTGTTGCTACAGCAAACTCTGCTTCAACGCCCAGCCAATGAGAACCAAACAGTGTCTTCAAGCAGGTGGGAGCTGGAGATACTGCAAGCTCATGGATGTTGTATGTGATCCAGTCCAACAGCACTGCTAACAGCAATGCAGATTGAGACGGCAAAACATTAAAAAAAAAAGTTAAAGAGTTCGGTGAAAAGAGAAATACAGCTTTGACTGAGTAACCTGTTGGCCAGCAGCCAGTGAAATACCACCTCTCTCAACATCAGAGGGGGTAACACATGGAGCTCTTCTAAAGTTACAGAGGGTAAAAGGTGCCTGCCTCACTGGTTTATGTCCATTTTCTGGTCCAGCAGGAAATTGGCAGTGAAGGGGCAACTTTATGACACAGTAAATTGCTGTGGTCACACACACAAAAAAACAAAAAAAACAAAACAAAACAAACAAAAAAAAAAACAGTCTGCAGGTGCCATTTTTAGTGCACTGAAGGTTCCCAAAAGGAACAGAGACCTGAATGTCTGAAATACATAAAACTATTATTATAAATATACATGATGTTTGGCCAAAAATATACTATTTATAGTTTGGGAAATGTATTCGTTTTGTATTACACTCAGAGTGCAGACTGTCGATATGTAAAATTTTCAACATTTTGGAATGGATTTTGGGGCATTTTGAGTGAGAGACCAAAACAAAGTAATGTAACACTGGGAAGTGGAAGGAGTACAGCTTTATAAAAATATGCTTACAAGAATAGCAGGCATAAAAATTCAACCCTGTTTGGTCCAATATAATCCATTGTTACCAATTACTTTTAAAAGCTCCACATAGGATGTGCGATTTAATCAAAAACCCAAGTGTTTGGATTTTGGAGTTGGATCCCCCTGATTTAAGGGAGCCCCACCAATTGCACAGAGTCACTCAGTGTGGAGCCATCTCTGCTCCTGCACTAGAATTTGGAATAGTTGATTGAATCGATGTGTTAACTTTGCAGCAATCCCTCATGCTGAGCATGCATTTAGATGGACAGAGGAAAGAAACCCCCCAGAGAAACAGACCACCAGCAGAACACAACTCTGGCTCCAGACACAAAAACACGAGTCCAGGAGGCCTTTCTATGTCAAAGAAAAGTTGCATAATGGATAATCCATCAACTGACAGTGGAAAGACTGTAACGCAACTGCAAACATTTAAACTGGCAGAGACAATCACAGATAGAGATGTCCTTTTTTTCTCTGGACAAAAAAAGTACCCTTCTGAAGTGCGTGTAGGTCATGGTACTATTTGTGATTTAAAAGCCTCTGTTTCTACACGTTTGCTATTTTGCCCCACAATATAAGAGGACACTTATATATATATACATGATGTTCAAGCTGGGCCTGTAATAAATCTCACACAACTAAGGCAGGTTCTGATACACACGCTGCAAAAACAAGACAAGATCTGAATGACTTGCGTTTATTGGCACAAACATAATAGTAGCAATTGTCCTGTTTTTCCCCATTCCCTCAGTAAAATACTTACTGAAAGAAATGATTTAGAAATGAAACTATAGTTACTGGATTTTTTTTTTTAACCTAAATTTACAAAATTATGCCATGCCATGCTAACTCTAAAAAGCCAATATATGGAACATTTCATCTCCAATAAACTTATAATTTTCTTGAAATATCAACAAAGAAAAAGTTTATACATGCAAATGTATCCCAAATAAATTCTGTATCAGAGAAAGCCTTTTCTCTTTCCAGGAATGGTCCATCAATGGTGGAAGGACAAAATGAGTGAATGGTGACAGATGTGATCACATTACTCATAATCAGACATTGTGTGCTTGGATTTATGAAAAGATTACAGTGCTTAATGCAGTCTATTTGCTGGAGGTTAATGCCTTGTTTTTCACTGAGCCAAGCAGTGTGCTCTGTTGCATACAATAGGGATAATGCTGTTGGTTTGTGCTCAACTGTTGTCAAATGCACATACTCCTGAGACATAAATCAGCCATTCACTGAGTGCAGAACGTTTCCTCTTTGTCCACTAGCAGCTAACATGGAATGCAGATTTTAGATTTAACTGTTTAAAGACTGGGATTATATGGACAAAAAATAGTTTTGCAACAGCAGTAATGCAGTTTGATCACTCATTTGAGTCTTTTCATTAAGTGGCTGTAAAAGTACAAGTAAAAGTATCCTGTGAACCTTTCAGATCCAGTTTTGCAAAATCTAATATCAAGATTGACACAAGAAAATCAGGAAGTCAAAACATTTTTCTCCAGTCAGTCCAACCTCATGAATAAAAACTAGTTGTTCAATCTCAGTCTCTGGAGGTAAGTGCTCTGACGGTGTGAGATTTCTTGTTGCTGCCCGACTTCCTCACTGCACTTTTGTCTTTTAATTAATCTCTTATCTCCAGACAGCCGGAAACCCAGATAACTATTTTCTAACCTCTTAGATACAGGACAATAAAAAATAACATAAATTGTGAATTGTGACATCTGGAGGGGTGGAGCAGTTGTTTTTAAATCAATTTTGAAAGGAACCAATATTCATATTCACCGATGACACTGGAGCTTCTTTAGTGAAACCAAACATAAACGGTGGTATAGAATCATTAGAATTATTTTTTACTCTATTCACAAATATTATGTTAATCCCCCCGCCCCCCAAAAAAAGAGTTATTGTTATGATTTGACCAAGATCCTGACTCTTACCCTATCTTGACCCTGTCAATAGCAATGCAAATGCACACGACTCTGTGTATAGCTTTGAGCCCTAAGTATACCTTTAGAGGTTGAATTTATTGACCGGGAGTTCAGAAGTTGGCACAATTATCCTAGAGTTAAAGTACAGACAGGATTTTTCTCTTCAAATGGAGGCTTTGATTCCAGCACAGAACGCTGCCTGGAACCTGGCAAAGGGAACTTTGTAACTGTGTCGTGGACGTATGATCATGTCAGGCACAAAACATGGTAAAAAGTCTTTTTGATGCATGATTGTGTATTCAGTGGTGGTGGACAGTGAGCAAACAGGTGCAATAACTAACAGGGGACAAAGTCTGCATATGGACGACTTGAAACGGTGCTCTATCTAATCTGCAACTTAGCCGTGGTTCAAAAACACACTGATAGCAGAGGAGACACAGCTTGCAGACAAGAACAAACTGTAATTGTAAATGAACACTCCATAGAGCTCCCATAGAAAATAAGCTTCCTGATTGAAATCCAACCATTTCTTCCTCAAACTATTTTTCTGCATAAGAGAATATGCAGAAACACTCTGCTTTGGAGTGTTTCTTTGAAAGGTATGACAATCTGCCAGTGCATTAGAGCTAACATAAAAGGGATAACAGCACAGGAAAACAGTTTGTCACTTCTAATCTATAATTACTCAGCAAAACAGGGCACTGATGATATGCTTGTTTATAACATGTAATAAACTCTCCAGATTGAGTAGCATTTTATCAACAGATGTCTGTGAATTAATTTATATGGTCCCATATGGAGTGGAAGTTGATAACCTTGTTTTCTGTTATATCAGATGTGGGGAAGAGTAAAGGTATGGAAAAAAGTGATGGTGGTAAAATTGTTGCCTACTTTGAAACTGCAGGACTATGTTTGGTCTAGTTCTAAGCAGAAATGGCCAGTGTGACACCAGCCCACACAAAGGTGCTGGCAAACGTAGCACAGCTTGGCACAATTAGTATTTATGTCAATCTTGGCAGAATTTATAGCTATGCTATGTTTTGTAGCATAATACTGCCCACTTCCAGTCCTTCTTTCAGTTTAATGATAGGCATGTGTTGGCACATGAGTCACTTTAGAACTAATATATTAAATTTGGTTTGCTCACCTCCATCCACAGCCAGGCCATGTGCATGCAAAGGGTTTCTCCCCTGTGTGTCTTCTCAAATGTGCTTTGAGGTGGCTGCTCTTGGTGTACATCTTATTACAGCCAGGAAATGTGCACTTGTGCATTTTGATGAGGTCTGCCACTGTGCTCTTCTGGTACCGCTGACCTCCAGAAAGGACGCCCGCCGCTGAACCTCCTAGACCTAATGTCGCTTCCCCAAGCCCATTGGGCTTGGCTGCAATAGGCACTGGTGCAATTCGGACGAATTTGGATGGAGCAGCGCTCCCTGTTTTGCCTGAGTTAGTTGATGCAGGGGAAAGCAACTGAGGCACTAAAGCAAATGTCTGTCCCTGGATGTTGACGAGGAGCTGGGCAATTTTGATAGATGATGGGGATTCAGTTGGTTGGGAATGGGTTTTCTGTGACTGATCCAGGATGGTGTCTGATGCAGCACTGGAATTTGGTTCTTGTTTGACCTGTATGGGCTGGATTTGGAGGATGACAGGCACACTTGAGGCAATGGTAGCACTTTCTGGTGTCAAAGGTGTCAGTGATCCACAGTCTTCTTGCTTGATCCCATCAACACAACTGTCAGTGGAAGTAATTACACAGCCATCACCTTCTGTCACTGGTGAGTTGTCTGTATCTGAGGCACATGCAGCATACTTGGCCTCTGACTTGGAGGCCACAGGGACAGTTTGATCTGAGTTCTGGGACGGTGATTCAGGTTTTGCTGCGAGTGTCATTGAACCTTCTGACTCCGTATCATCTGACATAGATATGGGAGGTGACATTTCCTCATCACTCCCATTCTCTTCCTTCTCCATTGCTACCATCATGTTCTCTTCAAGGAACTCTTCAATCTCCTCTAGAGTTGGCTGAAAGAGGAGTGCTTCAGGATCCTGCAGCTCATCAAGGAAAACTGGGAACTCAAAGCACTCCTCTTTGGTCAAGTGCTGCTGGACTCCAATTCTCTGCTCCCTCTTGGGCTCCCATGCTAGGCCCATGGGTAAGAAAGGGGATGATGGAGAGGAGGAGGTAGAGGAAGATGGGGAAGAGAAGGAAAGAGAGGAGGAAACAGAAATGTTGCCGCAACTGGAGCTGAATGAGGTTGTAAGGGAGGCCTGTGAGAGAAGGAGGTCCAAAAGACTCTCTTGATTCTCTCCTCCTGACGAGTTGGAGCACCCACTGCTCCTGTTGCTCCTGCTTTCGTAGCTAGAGCAAAAAACACTCCGTGACGCTGAAGACGTGGATTCGGGGCTGGAGCAGAGGGAGGAGCGTGGGCTGGAGGAGTCACTGAGGTCATCTTCAGAGAGACAAGGCGAGGAGGAGAGCTTCAGCCCTTGGTAAGGCTGGTGCTGATAAGTGCCCGCATCAGTCACCATGATGCCCTGCGAAACACCACCCTTGGTGTGGCGAGACAGGCACCCGTAGTCGGACCCTGGAGAGCAGGAATAATACAGGAAGGTCTCCTCACCAAGTGGCAAGTGATCAACCATTCCTGTGAGGATTGATGGCTGCTGACTTTTCTGGGTTCTGACGATCAAGCTGTTGATGAAGATTCTTTTCTTTTTTCTGGAAAAGAAACAAATATTTTACTACAACATAAGCTTTACCAGACTTCTCAAAACTTTGGATATATCGGTTAGAGTTAGGCATTTCTTTTCCCCATTCCCCTTTCTTGCCCATAATCTACCAACTTCACACCACTGCTACACTGAGTAAGGTCATACTGCGAGGTACACAGTAGTCCCTTCGGGGTCCTTAATTACACAATGAACCACCAGACTAAAAATTATTATACATTTCTGGTCCCTGTCAAATATCTGCTGCTTGTTTGGAAGCTCTGCAAACTTATGGCACTTCAAAAGGGAAGGCAACCACATGTTAGGGAACTGGAATGTGTGTGAATGTGTGTGTGTGTCTGCGTGTGCATGAATGTGTGTCGAATTTGCAGCTGCTGGTCCAAGCTTCAAGCTGACCATGCGGAGTCAGGCGTTCCTCTTTTCTCACCACTTTTAAGATTAAAGCCACATGGTCACTGAACAGTGTTTCTGTTTGTCTTCCCTCGTGGTTCTCAATGCATGCTAATCTGAGCAATAGAGATTTTCTTGCACCGTGAGATTAGAATGATGAAAATAATCTACCAACTTCCTGCAGACTAACCAAGAAGTCCATTTATATGTCAAATCAGTTTAGAATACATAGAGTTTCAGGAGGATGATGCATAAGCAAAGGATTTATTCTCTATTTTTATGCACCCAGAAGCTCAGGAACAATGCTCTGCCACTACATTAAACGGATTAAAAATACTAGACGACATCAGATGGCTTTGGAGGAAATGAGTGGCCCTGATGTTTAAAATGAGTCTGAAATCCTTATTAAATCCTCAATAGTGTCTGAGAACTGAAAGGACTGCCGTTCTTTCAGTGAGGCTGTTTCTTATAAAGAAAAGAGGGAAAAAAACAGTTCCTATGAAAGGCTCCATATGTTTCAAGTAAAATCTGGTGTTTAATTGAAGTGGTTGACACAACTACACAGTGCTTTACTCAAATACATTTGCATTCAATTTTGCATTTAGTAATCTGAGATCTTATGAAGGGGGTTACATCAAATTACATGGATTGTCAGAGGAGGGGGGTCTGCAGCTGTGGCTATGCCTCATGGAAGGGGAAAAAAGTTTGCGAGGAGAGAGGACACCTCACTTTGGCCAAGACTGAAGTCATTTGTCCTGCAGTAACCCTCCGGGTGTGGAACATCAAAAAAGGGCTTTGACAGCTGGATGCTGTCTTTACCAGCGCCGAGGGGTTTGACCTGAAGGGTTTCTCCTCAGCATTCGTGGCATGTTCAGCGCTGCAGCCTGAGACTGCAAGTCCAACCGCAGTTTCAATCAGGCTTTGGTTTCATGAAAAACCGAGACATTTGTTCAAAGTTTGGTGTTGTTTTTTCACCAGAAAGAGAACGTACAGAAGCTCATGTTGCTCACATGATACAGATGATACAGACTTCTATTTACTCACCAGTGCATAAGAGATCATGCATTGTTGGTTAAAAGCGAAATGAGCTCACCTGTCAATGCAAGGAAACTAAACCCCGCTCCTTCACAGCGTGCGCTCCAGTCCTGGACGAAGGTTTCTGTGCGTAACAGCACGCATTGGCAGTGCAACTCCAACACACGAGCTTTGCTCTTTGCATATCCTTATGCCGCTCTCTCTCCTTCCCTCCCCTCTCTCTCTTACACACTCACACACCCCCCCCCCCCCCCCCCACACACCACACACACACACACACACACACACACACACACGCATGCACTCACTCACTTTGAAGGCCTGGCGGATCGCTTAACCGTCACATGATCACAAGCTGGGAACCCGTCAAATCAGGGGATTGGCCCTGTGAAGGCTCGCCTGCTTGGAGCATTACAATTGGCTCAGGACAGAGAGAGGCAGCCCTCAGAGAGTGTTGTGAGAGGAAGGAGGTGTAGAAGGGAGTGTGTGTGAAAACTGGTTTACATCATAAATCATTTAAATGTCTTCATTCTAAACTCAAAGGCTCCAGATGAGACATGTACAGCACTTTACAAAGGTTCACTTACATGCGGCAGAGTGTGCAAACACATGCCTCTTTTATGGACTGTTCACTGCGCTGCTCCTCATGCAATTTGGTTCATGTGATGTTGGAGTTCTTTTCTTTTCCTGTTATTTATTCATTAATATTATGGCTAATACGAGATGATGCTGTGCCACCTTGAGACCAGACTTGGCTCATTTCCCAGCACAAGGACACAGCACAACATGTTGAAGGACTTTGATCTGAAAAGATGAGATCAAATTGAAATATTCTATCCTAAATGCAAACAAAGCACATGACCCTCAACACACTCTATGGTAAAACATGGTGGTGGGAGAAACACGCAGAAGGATAATTTTCTTCAGCAGAACTTGAAAAATAGAGTTTTAGTTAAAATTGTTTGTGCAAGACATGCGTTGGGGCCTAGAGGACGAGGAATCAGTTTACATCAAATCATTCTCATGTGTTAAAGTGGCCCAGTCAAATTCCAGACCTAAATTCAACTGATAATCTGTGGCATGACTGGAAAACCTTTGCTCCCTTCATTCAGTTTGACTGATTGTGAGCTACTTTTCAAAGAAGAAAAAGCAAACTGTTCAGTTTACATGTGCAAAGCAGGTACTGACCACCCCCCATCAGTAGGGGGCACTGTGAGAAACAAAAATGTTTGTCAGACTTTTCAGGTTGTATGCATTTCTGTTTTAGGCTATGCTTACAGGAGGCAGGATGTGTCTTGGGGAATCGTGGACAAGAATGCAAACACATTGATCTGTTGTAGGTGTCATTCCAAGCCACTACACGGCACTGTGATGTTAGCACTTCATTAAAATGTCCATGCTCTTTTGACAGTAACCAGTTTTTTTTGGTTGTTTTATTCATTTATTTTTGTGTGTGAATTGTACAATTCACAAAAAAAAAAAAAAAGCTTAGAAATTTTTACAAGCGGAATTTCACAATGAGTGGGCTAGTGCAAGCATAGTATGTTACTCCTCCATAGGGGGTGTTACAGAAAAAGTTCCTCTCTGAGACCTGGTTTCAAAAACTATCAATGTCAAAGACACCAGAAATATGAAAACAAGCGACTAGATCACAACTAAGGTGCTATAGTTTCCTGGATCACATAAAATCCTATTCAAAAGTTGTAACTTGACAACATGTGAAAAAAGTTCAGTTGGTGTAAATACTTTTGCAAGGCATTGTTAGTGGTCAATTACTTACTTCCCATGGGTTTCAGAAATAGAAGTTTTTCTTTCTTGCCAGTTAAAGCAGAGCCCGTATAAACAGCTTAACAGGCTGAAAAAACATCACTAACCCAAATTAAACTGACTTTTCTTCTTTAGGTTACCTTTCAGAGTTCTGAATAAACAGCCCTTTTTTACCTGCTTGTAAACTTTAGGACTGCTTATTAGTAGTAAGGGGAGTATACACTCCAAAGCTAATGGACAGTACGCTGTGTAAAAAAATATGCAATATCACACCGTGAAAGCCTTGTACTGATTCCACCTTGTTCAGTTCCAGCCATTGCTGTGCCTGTTTCTCCTTCGACTCTTAAAGTCTTAGTTGCCAGAACATTTACTGCTACTGTTCAAACTACCAAAACTCTGGATATTTTTAGTTTTGTACATTTTCTCCACCCAACATGCATACATGTATTTTGCCTGCAGAGAGCTTGAAATTCCTGTTTTTAACTCTGGTCTTTACAAATTACAGGTTGATTCTGTAAGTACTTGATGCTTTTTCTTGCATTTTTAGCTGTCATACTTGTATGTTGCATTGCACTGACAACACTCAAAACTTGTATTTACATGGCAATAAGTTAACTAAATATAACATCAGTCATCATTTATTTATTGAATGGTCTAATCTGGAGAGGCCTCATACACGCTGCTAGTAAGTATTGACCCTCTGGCAGATTTCTTTCATTTTTGAGATCAGTTTTAATATCCAACAAAAGTGACTTGAGTGAAGTTGAGTGCCAAAAATGAAGAAATATGGAAAGGGTGTTAATACTTTTCAACTGCACAGTACATAGCCAAAAACTTTGTTGTACCACATAAGCAAAGCTCCTGAGCCGCTGATAGCCGGGGAAATACAACATGAAGGCCATTTCAGTCCCGGGGTGAGATGTGGGGGAATAACTTCCCGTCCGCTAACAGGGGAGTTAATTTGTCACTTAGCTCTTTTGCTAGCTTTTTAGATTTTTAACACACTTAGCTTCCGTTAAGTTTATTTTGCCAGATAAGTCCTAGAACCCTAATTTACTAATGCTTTGTAATTTTTTAAATTCTTCAGACATTTATATTCCTGAAGTAGATAAGGACTGTTCACACCCAATAAGTTTCAGCAAGAAATATACATATCAACAAAATAAAAAAAATAATAAAAATGTAATAATAAATACAATATCGAAAGTTGTTATAAAATATCAATTATTAAGTCAAAATTAAATTGCAGTAGTCGTTCATGGACAGATATAATTAGAATTGAAGTTAGCTTTAGTGTTAGTGGACCTAATACTTATTATTAGTGCTTTAGGGTTAGCACCCCTAACTAAAGTTGTCCTGTTTACATGGTATGCCAGATTTGAGATTTGATACTTTGCTTATGTACTTTACAGAGTGTTTAATGTATGTAAGTGGATTTGTGTGTGATCTTTCTGATGTGGCAGCATGTGATGTAACTGATGACACAGAAGCAGAATACAGTATTTGTGACTGGCATAAATATATGGAAATAAATCAGACAAAAAAAACAACAACAACAAAAAAAACAAACATTGAACATGATTATGAATGGACTGATACTGATTTAAGTTCTGCACTCGGTCATTGTCCTGATCAGATGCTTCACTATATCTTCCATTATGGCTCATGGATAACTAGTGATATTGTGGTTCAAACATGCAATGCTAAACAGCTTGAAGTAGGAACATTTACTTTTCATGGACTTCGGTCAGTGTTTTGACCTTTTGCTGTCTGCATTTAGGACTCTCTGTGATCTCAGGTGAACCAGGTGACCTGGATGTTCACTACAAACAAACTTATTTATTTAGCTCGCTTTTCGAAACTTTGCTATTTTGGCAAAATCCTGCTTGGGAAATTCAGTCTCTTTACCTTGTTGCACATGTTGATCCTTACTATGACTGGGCACAATGTTAAGTCAGTTCAATGAAACTCTGCCATGCGTTGCACCAGCCTGAAATGTTTACTGTCTCTTCAATCAATAGTAGAATTATTCCTACAAATGTAGGGAAAACTGTAAGTTCTTTTCTGTGTCTATTAAAACTGTCATTTCCATTAAAGTTTTTGCTGCTGTTTCTATTCACTAATATCTGCTATTAGTGCTCATTGACTGCATTCCTGCTATCTCGGAGTTTTAGATGTATTTAGTTGATGGTAACTATCACTCTTAAGGTGGTAAAGTGTGAATGCTGGTGTGAAATTGGAGCCTTCTGGACAAACGGGTGACGGCATGAAGTGGAGCTTCTGCTGTATGGAAGGTAAAGGAAATGGTACTACATCACTTCCTGGTGCCAAAACCTTCCAAAACGAGGATTGATCATGTAATTGCATTCATTGCCGTAACAGATGATGATATTTGGTGATTTTTAAAAAATGAAAATCAGATTTTTCTTGAAAGAAAAAGACAAAACAGAACAAAAAAAACATTGGCTTTCTCAGCAAATAAAATGGATCATTTACGAAGAACACTGGCTAATTTAGCACATAAACTCTCACACCAAGTCTGTTAAGTTGCTAGTTTAAAAAAACATTAAATGTTTAAAGAGAAACAGATTCACAGCAATCTGTAAGCACTTGCCTTTCCTCCCCAAGAAGTTGGTTAGATCTAGGCTCATTTTATGGTTAGCTCGTTTAATTGAGTTCGGCTCGTTTAACCATCTTCTCTCTGCAGGTTCCACTTCCACTGGAGGCAAAAGAAATAAATATTTACATTTTCTATCTTGTGTAGATATTATATTTTTGGAGAAGCTGAGTGAGAGCTTGATTAAGTCTGCAGTGGGTCTTTTCTTTGGCAAACTGGTTAATTGAGTTCGGCTGCTCCATTCGAACTCACAAACACCTACACATATGCACATTATGTAAGCCCCAGATGGACTTAATGAGTCAAAATGATTTATATCCTCTGGTAAAAGGAGCATTAAGCCAAATTTGAGAAACAAATGTGTGTTTCTGTCGTCCCTAACAATGCTTGGAACAAAGCTGGCATTCTGACTGAAGAGGGTAAATAATGCTGAGTCTGTGAGGGACAAAAACCAAAGTCTGTTCCAAGGTTTGCATATTTAAAGAAAAAGATTTGCATCTGTACCGAAGTTTCTCGGGTTCTCCCTTCAGCTACCTGAACAACTTCACAGTTTTTTTGAGTATCTACAGACATTTCTATCAAATGCTGCAAAAGTATGAATACAACAGCAGACACCACATTCTGCTACTTCACATTCTGCTGTGTTATGAATACTTTTTTCAGTGTATTATATTTACAATTGACAAACATTAAGTACCTCAATTAAGAAGTAGAATAAAAAAATCCATGTTTTTCCAAATCAAAACAACATTTTGCTCCAATGCAGAATACATTTAATTGCAGTTTTGCAT